TACACACATGGTCACAGAGCAGGAAGAGATCACAGCGGACACAGAAATTACTTCTTTTAGCCAGGTATATACAGAATTTTTCAGTTATACCTATTGTTTCTTACTCCCATCGGCTGGTGCTACTTAAGTTTTATTGCCAGCTGCCACACAGCTAATGTGGTAGCAATACTGGGGAAGACCTAACAAGATATTCTGGTGTGAAGGGACTAAAGCAGCCTCAGTTTGTCTTGGTATAAGCAAATATTCTTCCACTTGTTTTCTTCAAATTTCTTAGAGAGTCATTCGACAGCCAGCTGCACAGGCCACCTTTCACTTTTGAAGACCTGTTACATGCATGTGAGCATGTAACTAAGGAGACAAGAATTGCCTGTAGATAGGTGTAGTCAGACGTACCCATTCAACTTCAAGAGACAGTGCAACATTACCCTGAGCACAGACACCCTCCCTTTTCCCACGTGCTATTCCACACCTTTAACTATCAGATCCACTCAGATTACAAAGGCAGCAATCTTTATTTTCTGAGACATTTGTGTGATCACACTTAAAATACCCCCAAAACGTAAAAGTTTTTAAAAAGTTTAAAAGTTCCAAATCTAAGTTCCTGATAAACAGAAAAAAGAGCAAATGACAAGTCACAAGCAAGATGATGTTCAAATCCCCAGAAAATACTCTCTTCCCACCTTCCTTTGGCCTCTAACCTTTAGTTTCTTGTAATAACTGTGGTCTTCTAGACCCCTCAGCAGAATCCAGGCACCAGAGCAATTGTGCAAGCCAGAGGGGAAGTTCTGAAAAATGCTCATTGGAACAAGTTGCAGCTCATGTATATTGGGGTGGCTCATCAAGTCTCATCCAACCGTCAATTAGGTGACACTGCTTTGCACACAAATGTAGCTTCCTGTAACAACAGGGCTCTTCTCATTGTCACACTTTGGGGAGGGAATGGAAACGTGGAAATCAGACCCTGCATAACCTCACTCAGTGGCTGGCAGTTTCACAAGATGGGGTGAGCAGTTCTCACAGCCCACTACCCCGTTTCCCAAACATGCACTACCGCTGCTCAATTCATACTGGATATGGGCTCAGCAGACTGCTCCATAAACTAAAATTAACTTAACCCACCTAAGAGGACAAAAAAGTAGTTGGGGGAGCCATTTTCTAGCAGGTGTGTGTTGCACCAGAAATAAGGAGGCAGTCACAAAACTGGAGAGAAAGCAAGCCCTCCTCTCAACAGCAGTAAGCCATTATCTCAGTTGCTCATGAAAACTCAGTTTAGGCTGCAAGTTACTGAACTTGTTTGAGGCTCCCCATACCGAACATGTACTTGTAGCTAACACTTCAAACCTTACAGCACCAGTCTATTTGCCTTAGTGCTATGGGGAAACTGGCATTTTACTTCTTGAAAGGGATTTTACAGATGGAAAACAGCTCAAAGAGCAAGTGATCCAATACAGAAAAGAAATTTAAGGCATCAATGATACATTCATCTCGACTCCTAACAAGCTGCACGGCACATCGCTGGGAGTAAGCCTAAGCTGGCACGTTTTATGTTCAGAGAGAACAAGGAGTAATACCACACTGCAGTCAGAGCCTCTGAAACAGAAACACAACAAAAAGCAGAGCTGGATAGAAAAGAGGGCTTTATCTCCTCTGCCTCCTTACCCATTCCCACTGAGCCAAACGTCACAACCTCCATGCAGTCAAGAGTTTCTGCACACCTCCTCTCCCTAGCTACATTCCCAATGAGAGTGTTATCAAGAGTGCCACAGCAGTACTACAGAACTTGGCCTAACAGCCCCCAATTTGCAACTGCAAATACAGCTACTCAACTATTAAGGTGTATTTAGACTCTGCTTCTCCTGGTTAGTACTCTGGTTAGTGGCCTCAACAGGAGTGGAAGGAAGAGGAAGGCAGGAATTTATTGCAAGGTGAAACCATAAAAGAAGGAAACAGAAAAGAGGAACCCTGTCACACTGCAACTGTGAACTTGAAATGTCAGGTGGGGGTGGGGATTACAGCCAGAGGGTTCAAATCAGTTGTTGCTCTTACAGTAACTAGCCAAAAGCAAGTTACAATACTTGCCATTTCACAGGTATCTGAATTAAACTGGCTGAAAAAGAAGCGGGAGGTTAAGATACAGGAGAATGACTTCTCTTTCTTCTACTAGATGGGCAGGAAATCGAAATGAAATGTTACTGCCAGCCTTTTAAAATAAGACTGTAGAAAATTTAACTCTTGGCGGTCACCCTAGTGGTGCCAATAACACCAGCTCAAGGACGGTTCCAAATTAGGGGTGTAAACCAGAATTAGAAATAAAAGGGGGAAACATCCAACCATTCTCCCATATCCCCACACTGGAGCTGCCTGCCCCACAATGGGCTAGGGGAGGTAGCATTCCAGGCAGGCTTGACATCTATAATGTCCACATGCCCATCCAAGCCATCCTGATGAGCAGATGGTTTATGAATTCCCAAGGAAACATTCTCAGTCACTTTCAAACTTGACGGAATTGACTTGGGTCGATATAGTGCCCCCACGGTAGCTGCCTCGTTTTTTCTTTGTCTTCTCATGGCGGAAAGATTTGCCTTTAGTGAATTTCAGGATATTGTTAGCCTTCTCACCCCAGTCACCAGCTGCTCCTTTCTGTGAGAGATGAAGGGGGAGAGGAAAAAGAAATTCAGGGCAGTACCCAAGAGAGTAAAGGCAATGCTTTGCAATACATCCTACCCAGCAAACACCAGTACATTAACACTGGAGCTAATACCACTCTCCCACACACCTCCCACCAGTGCTCACACGCCTCCTAACAGCACCTCCTGGTGGAAAAAGTTCCCACCAAAAAGACTGCCCACAAGCACGCCAAGGCTGCTCTGCTGATCTGTATTTGCAGAGGCCAAGTGTTACCACTCTGGGCGCTACCTAGCCCTACCTTTGCTTCAAATGAGTTATCAGCAACTCGGGCATCCAGCTCAATCTCTTCTTCCCTTACGCGGCGGAATGGAGAGGCTGGCTGTTGAAGAGAAACAAAACGAGATACAGTAAGCGCATACATGTGCATGATATTCCCTCAGTGTCAACCTCTTGTCTCCTTGCCCTGCAAATATATAGCCCTGTTCAGGTCACCTCAATCTTTAAGTGTTTCTCAGATCCATAATTCTTTCCCTTTTTCAGGTCAGGTAGCTCAGGGATGCTCCTGTGCAAGCATATCCAATCAACCTTTGCCAGAATAACATTATGCACATATGTGCACTACCTAGGGTTCTCCAGACAAGGTTCAAGTGCTTGAGGAGGGAGCAAAAATACAAATAATCCTGTGGGCCCAACCTCCCCCAAAAACCCAAAACTTGTTCAGGAGACAGAGATGCCTCTCCCACCAGTCACCACAGTCTACCCTCACTCACCTGTTTCACCTTGGGAACTGTGTGTGGTGTTTTGGCTTTGATCTTTGCCTTTTTACTGTGTGGCGTCTCTGGCTCCTGAATATCTTCCCTCTTCTGTTTCTTCCTGATCGTGCCTGTTAGACATACAGCAGTAAAACTTTAGAGGGAGTAACTGCAGTGTTGGGAAAAGTAATGGCATCTCTCCCCCAGAATGCAAACCCAGTGTTGACACAGGTGTGAGAATCAGTCTCTGCATTACCCCACCCAGAAAACAGACTGCTGTAACAGACACTAATAGCCATTCTGGGTGAGCAAGGATTTTGCCATCCTATCCTAATGGATAAAGATAATTTTGCTGCCTTGCTGTCACTAACAAATCTTGTGCGCGCACAGATGGCAACTGGCAACAACTGTACAGAAATGTACTTCATGTTACCACAAATTCCATTGCCAGCACATATGCAATACAGACAAAAAGGATCACACCAAATTAAAAACTAGCCCTTCCCTCTCAGTACTGCAGCAGATGGCATAATCTAATAGCACATAGAGATTAGACTGAATATTGTTTAGGAAAAGCTCCCATTCATGTTTAGCTCAGTAACATTGCCTGACAGACCCTCTTCCCAGACTGTAGGTAATACCTCCATTGACTTTTCCAGTCTCTTCTTCAGAGCTGCTTTCACTGCTACTACTGCTGCCACCAGCTGGCTTAGACTTCAGGTTGTTTGCTGCTGGTGTGGATGCTTTCGATTTCTCTCTGGAGGCAGTGGTCTTAGAATTGTTCTGTGCCCCCTTCCCTGCCTTTTTGGGCTTCTCATCCTCTTCGCTGGAACTATCAGATGAGCTGCTACTACTATTAGAAGCAGCTGCCTTCTTCCCCACAGTTGCTTTTGCTGCCCCTGCAGTTTTGGTGGCTGGTTTTACCGCTGGCTTCTTTTCTTCTTCTTCACTGCTTGAGCTATCAGAGTCAGAAGTGCCTGCTTTGGGAGCTGGGGTAGAAGGTTTGGACACTGGCTTACCCACTTTGCCAGCTAATTTAGCTGGAGTGCCTTTCTTCTTCTTCTCATCCTCAGAGCTGCTGGAGCTGCTATCTGAATCGGAGCTACTTTGCGCTTTCTTTGTGGCAGCTTGTGACTTCTTTGTTGCAGGGGTTGCTGCTTTAGTTGTGGGCTTCACAGGGGCCTTCTTGTCAGAATCTAGAATGGAAAGGAAAAGAATAATCAAGGCTAAGCCCTATTCCTTCAGCATGAAGCTAGCATACAGATTCAATGTTGATACATAGTGCACTTCATTAGCTGCTTGAAACAACACTGGGTATTCCCGTCCAACTGCACCCTCATACCCTGCCTAGAAATACAGAGGTCTGAGCAAGCACAATGTGGAAATTCTCCTTTTCTCCTACCCAATACCTGAACTGTCTGAGGAGGAACTGGAGTCTTTCTTTGCTTGTCCAGGCTTGACGGCTACTTTTGCCAGTTTGGAAGTATTCTTTATCACAGGTTGTTTAGCTGGGAGCTTACTCCTTACCTTCTTCTTGTCATCTTCAGAGCCAGAATCTAAACAAAAAACAAGTATGTTTTTTAAGTTAATAAGCTTCTGGTGCAGGTTACTTTAGTAATGACACATACATAATTCATGGGGACGTGAAAAGCAAAACGGGTTGCGGCTCAAGGCTGAGCCACTAGATAACTGGCAATAAGCAGCATTTGATGAACACTTGAATGGTCAGGGGACAGCATTCATTTTTCCACATTCTTCTTCGTTCGAAGTAGAAACAAGCAGTTTAAGTTCTTCACTAATGCATACACAAGGAAGCAGATATTTGGAGAATAATGTAGGAGAAGAGGTACAGAATAAGGGACTGGAGAAAGAGAAAGTACAGGTATCACCAAGAACAAACGCAGGGAGAACAAACATTGAGAAAAGAAGCTATGTGGTAAAGATCAAAGAACAGGCAAGAAATCAGGAGATAAAATTGACAAAGCAGGGAAAGTGAGACAGCAATAGCACAGTATCTCATTTCAGCTTTCTATTTCCTGTATCAGATGTGCTTTGCAGCAGTCTGAGGATGGACTGGAGACTCCTACGTACAAATATGCCTTTGTATTGTCTGTCACAGCAATCTGGAATGCTAAGCCTGATCTATTCCAACATTTCTGAACACTTTAATAACAGTAATCAAAACCTTGTCCATTTGTGAGAAACTAGGCAACAAAACTAGAAAACACAGAACTCCTGCCACTTGTTGAAGGATCACACAGTCTAGTGCTAGCTGCCTGCAGACAGACAGGCAGCTGCCACCCACAGTCCCTGCCGTGACACCAGAGATGTTGAAATATACAACAGAAGCACCTTGAACTTGGAGGGGAAATGTAGCACACAGGGAACTTACATGGGAAATACAGCATTGCAAACCTTAAACCTCACCAACAGAAGATACAAAGCACGCTGCCCCCATTTCTAGGGTCACATTAGGAGAAGGCATCTTTTGAGTCAATTTTGAACTTGGTATGGCGATAACATTTTTTATTTCGGAAACTTCTCCCAAACACAATGGGGTAACAGAAACCAAAATCTTAAGACACAGATCGTCAAAAAATGTAGCCATTAACCTTCCTGGAGAAACCTGATACACATGATGCCCCACCCTTTCCATACAGCAATATGCAGACCGTTCTGCACCCGCCAATAGTCTCACTGGTGTCTCATGGTCAGACTCCACTCTGCATAGCAGGCTGCTGTTTTTCAATTTCACATCTTGTCAGCTATGGAGACTGTGAAGCTTTTGAGCTCATACGCTAAGGATCTTAGCAGATATACCACTACACAGCAATCTGGCCAATAAAACCATTAACACAAAAAAAATCAAAACTTTATTTCTTGAATTACCTGAGTCACTGTCAGAACTGGATTCAGCCTTCTTGGTAGTCACAGTTTTGTTTTGGGGGCCAGGGATTGTTTTAGCTACTACTGCTTTGCCTGCAAAACCAAGTTTAAAATTAACGGCCCACATCCACATCGAACGTTTGTCCCAAGATCCAAACCTTTTCAGATGCGAAAAAGCTCCCTTCTCAGTGCACCAGCCATTCAGCCAGCACATTGGAAGCCAAGCAAGGACCTGGCCAGCTGCAGTAATGGGCCTGGCTTATTCCCGTTAAACTAGATCCTGCTCACTTTTCAAACCAACACGTGCAAAGTAACCCAACCTGCGCACAGTTTGGATCCACAGGTTGTACAGTGTGTTGTTTGGGATGCTTTCAAATTACTCAGAAGCTTCCAGAGAAGCAAACAGCAACATAGACCAAAGTCAAATGGCTTTTTCAAGGAAACCAAGACATTGCCAAAACATTGTCTGCACCATTTAGTACTTCCTCTGCAGCCTCCTTTCCTCACAACATACCTATTCCTCCCTTTGGGGGCACCTGCTCTGCCTCATCACTACTGTCTGAAGAGTCACTGCTCTCAGCCTTTTTTGCAGGAGCCTTGGCAAGGCCCTTCTTTGTCTGCGTAGCTTGAGGAGGTGGTACAGCACTGTACTGACCTACAAAGAGAGACACAGCATTCAGATGCCTGCATGATAATGCGAGCAGCAAGTGAGATGTTTGTTGTAGTTAGAAGAAAGCACTTCTGCTATTTGGTTCCATTTATTCCCCTTCCATAGATAAAATCAAAAATACTAGCTTATAATTTGAAAGGTTACACCCACCCCACTGCTACCTTCTGTTTCTACTGTGAGTTTAACTCTCCTCTTAGGGTTCAGCTGACCCAACCACCTCTGCAGAAGTTTCCTCTGCACTTTTAGAAGAATGGGAGCTTGTGTTGCCAGATTTTTTCAGAAAAAAACAGAGATGTCAATTGTTGATTGTTTTCATTTACTGCCTTCTCAAATCCTCTGGTTAGAGAATCAAACTGAGTTTCGATGCTTGATCCTCCACTAAATCAGCCCTCTACTGGAATCCTAAAAGCGCTGTACTGTATTGAACAGAGGCCCATTTAGCCCATCAGCTGGATTGCAACTGAACAGCCCTGGATACTTCACAAAAAAATCTAAAAAAGCTTAAACTGCTGCAGTTACAGAATAACCAAACCACTGGCAAATTAATTCCCAAATCCTGGCAGACAGGAAACCTGCAAGAAGAATGTACTTAAAAGCTACCTGAACAGAAGACATGCAGCAAACCAAGCAGAGTCTGTCACAATGTCTCTCACCCCCCATCCCTTGCTGAGGGAGGAGCTGAATTGTAAGCTTAGCCCCAACAGCACACATGAAAAGAACTGCTGTATTTCTGGTTCATGATACCACCACCAGCACCACCTGGAACCTTGTGTGCAGCAAGACTTGCCTGTGTCCTGCACACACTTCTCCTGGAACAGAGGGACTAGCAGAAAGCATCCTCCCACACAGCAGCAATGGTATTTAGTACTTACCAGACTTCGGCTTTTGTTTTGCAGGTGGCTTTTCATCATCTGAGCTGTCAGATGAGTCCTCACTACTGGAACTTTCCTTGGCACGTTTGTTTTTCCCTGTACACGCTTGAGTGGCTGCAGGTTTCGGCAGAGGTGATTTCTTGGGAACAGCCTTATCACAAGAAGGAAAAAATACATGTTAAAAAAGAAGTTACAGAAATCTTGTGGGGATGTGGATCTTGGTTAACTCCACGCCTCACTTAAGAGAGCAAATTTTGAAGACAAAGGGAGAAAGATTAATGAGGATTCTCAAATGCAAATTTTAGGAAACACATGAGCATCATGATCTTTCTGGCCACTCTGCTGTTGTTTTCTGCTGCACGAAACCCTAATGAGGAGCTCCTCTGACTCAGAGGCACAGAACTTACTCAAATGGTAGCAACTGCCACTTGATTAAACACAACTGATTATTTCTGTGTTGCAGGAAACATTTTTAAACAGTCCCTGGTGGAAAGCTCAAAGTTACAGATAGCTAAGCACAAGAGAGTCATGCAAAAGTGAACATATAATGGAGACTACAATATGGTTATGACACAATGAGATGTTTTCCTGTAAAAGGAAGGAGCAGAGGAAGCGGTAAGGAGGTATTAGGGAAGAAAGCCAGTGCACGGAGAGGTTCTAGAACACATAATCCCACTGTATAAAGGAGAAGGAGGTACAAGAGCCACAAATGCTGTGCTCAGCATGTTGTAGTAGTCTGCGCCTTTGTCTACATATTTCACAGTCCCTTCAAGACAGAGATACACCTAGTCTTACTAGACTTCTACAGTGCTCATGAAATTTTTCATGGTCTAATTTACCTTCTTTGGTGCAGCCTCTTCCTCATCAGAATCTTCACTACTGCTGCTACTGTTTGCTGCTTTTCCATTGACCACCTTGGTGGCTGCCTGGGCAGCTTTACTTCCTTTTGAGATAAGTAAAAAGGGACATTAGAAAATATGCTATGGTAGATGAGGGGTAATTACATTTAGCATAAAGTATCATAGAGAGAAAAGAACCACAGGAAGCCAATAGGGCAGATTAAGGCAGTACTGCAGAACTGTTGTTTTATCCTACTGCAAGGTTAGAGAAAGTTTTCAGAAAACTGTCCATTCCATCTTATTGGAAGTTCCAGGACTAAAGGCTAAATAAAGATCTTCCCTGCTCTTTGAGGGGAAGAAACTGGCAAAAGCACAACTTAAGCAGTTAAGGTTGCTGATTACAGCTACTTATGCAAAACAATGCAGCATTTGGGACCAGATGTTTTATTTGCCCTCAGTTCTACACCTCTTCCATGTCAGAAGCAGACTGGACTGGAGTGCGAATGGCAGTGACAGCAGATTTTCAGACTGCTATGTTAACACATATGCCTTTGCATGTAAATACAGCCCCCATCACTCCTCCCCTGGCTTTTTTGGTTTTGCATTTTGACTCATGATACACAATAAGAAGTACCTGACTTAAGTGTTGCTGGTTTTGGAGGCTGTTTCTTTGGTGCTTCTTCATCTGAGCTGCTCGAGTCAGAGCTGGAACTCTCTGCTTTCTTCTGAGGCTGGATTTTGGTTCCAGCTGGCTTCACCACAGGTTTTGCGCCTTTCTAAACAACAGGAGGGAAAACTGATTAGCCGCTGTGGCCATGAAAAGAAAAAGAGGCTGTTAAGTACAGAGGGACACATGTACAGAGAGTATAAACAGCTGTCTTTCATAGAGGTTACCATTTTGACTTGGAAACACCGCTCTGCCTAATGGATAGGGCCTGAAAATCCCTGGACAACAATTTTGCTCTGGGAAACCTCCCAGCAGCCCATGGGAGACTTCCTTTGCACTTCAGTCTCCAGTTCTGCCTCCTCAAAATGGGGCAGTTCTGGGGCTGGCACTGTTCTCTTCCTTCTCCAGACCACACTAGTTTGAAGACTGAAAATACTGTCTGGGCAACTCTGGTTGGTCTCCTCTAGTGTACACCGACATCATTCTTCCTCCTCCCCACTTCTCAAGACCTGACTGCAGCAAGAAAAAGGAAAGAGAAGATTCTCTTTTTAAATATACACATATATGTAGAAAAAAAATCAAATTTATTTTAGTGATTGTAAATAAATATTTCTTTGCAAAAAAAGTAAGCCCTGGCAGTCTTAGAATAAAAGCAAGGAGCAGACTTGGATATGAAACAAAGTGGGTGCTGGACATGAAATTAATTTTTCACAGGAGCAGTCCAAATGGCACACCGTCCACTACAGAAATGTCTTCTTACATTGCACCTGCAGCAGTCCAGGCACTTCATAGTTCAGGAGAAGCGAGCCCAATATCAGAGAGAATTCTGCTGGTCAAATTTGCTATTATCCATCACTATCAAACATGCATTAAAGAGGCTGGAAAGAAAAGCTGACCTTTGCTGGCTGCTTCTCTTCCTCCGAGTCTGAATCATCACTGGAGTCCTCGCTGCTGCTCTCTGCCTTCTTGGCTGGAGGAACTGCTTTTGCCTTGGGCACAGCTCCTGCTTTAGCTGCAAATAAGAGACAGCACATGTCGATGATAAGTTAATTCACAACTTTCCTGTACCTATATCCTGCACTAGTGTGCACCAGGGCAAAAGGATATATTAAGGTCATTAAACCATGACTGAAGTTCGTAACACTGACTTTGTTTCTTGAGCAGGTGCGGCAGAAGTGTCCAAAATGGGTAGGCAAGAGGATAAAACCAATTCTAGATTTTATCTTTGTCACATACGCATTTAAGTGCAGACTTCTATCACCAAAAAGGACACCCCACAAAGAAAGTGTCCCCACAAACTGAGATAACATTAACTGGGTCTGCACACCTTCCAGCTTACAAAA